TCATGTTTCACTGCCTGGTCAAAGCACCCTTTGATAGGAAGGGGGTAAGCAAGATAAAGATTGTCCTGTCAGGCTGGTGTGGAGCAGCCTCTGCTCGTGACATACCATGTGCTTCCCTGGGTTTAGGAAGCAGTGAGTTTCAGTGAATGCATGGAAGTTTGCCACAAGCAGGGGTAGTTAGTGGTCAGAACACAGGGAATTTTGTGTTATGTTGATGACAAACATAACTGGAAAAGCCACAGCCGGATGTTAGTTGGGTTCAGTAGGATGAGTAGGACTTTACCTTCTTTGTTGTTTTAAAGCTAGTCAAGGAAAAGATTAATCACATGGAGGATTTTCTTCTAGAAGCACCTCAGGGATGAAGGAGCATCAGCTGTTCTGGAAGCAGGCAGAACTTGGCACTTAGTAGCTCCTCTGTGACCTCCTTGTAGGGTTTCATTCTGCAAAAAAGTGATTTTATGGCATCCTGCATCGCATCTCTGAGGGCCTGTCATGGTTCTCCTTGAAGCATCAAAGCCCCTAAGCTATTTGACCTTAACAGAGGGGAAAACTTAGTTCCAGGTTTCAGTATAAAAGCTTTTCAGAGTTTGGATCTTCAGGTTCTGACTTTCTGTCAGTTAACAGTGGGAGACAGCAGACCATGGCTTTGCTGATGAAAATGTGCCATTTTGAAGAGGGAGGGAAATTTTAAAATACCAAACATCTGAAAAGACTAGAGGAAATGGGGTGGTTGATGGGAACCTGAAGGTACCAATGGGTTTGTGAAGGACATTGTTTGCGCTTGCTGAGCAGTGGAGCGGATCAGCTACTTCCCTTTCTGTTCTGTGTGATAACTCTGTTTTTATCTTTAAGTAATTTAAAATAAAAAATTAAAAAACCATATACAAAATTGAGTATGGAGTGCTGCAAGCACTGGAGCCCCCAGCACAGGAAAGACATGGACCTGTTGGAATGAGTCCTGAAGAGAGCCATGAAGGGGCTCAGAGGTGATGAAGATGCACCTCTCCTGTTAAGACAGGCTGAGAGAGTTGGGGCTGTTCAGCCTGGAGAAGGCTCCAGGGAGCCATTATAGCACCTTGCAGTGCCTAAAAGGAGAGAATTGGAGAGGGACCTTTTACAGGGGCGTGTAGGGATAAGACAGGGAGGAATAGTTTCAGACTGACAGAGGATAGATTCAGAATTCAGACTAAGTCATCCCAGTAAGTCTAAAATAAAATTATATTGATGTAAAATTAATTTAAATTATAATAAAAAGTAATTCATTGCAGTAATTTGATAAGAAACATTAGGTTAGGAAACAAATGCAATCAGCATTTCTAATACATTCTGGTTTACACTTATTCACTTAGGAAAGCCTTGTTCTCCTTTCTCCTTCAGGAATAATATCATATGTGTATATTTGGTGAGTGTCTTTCAGCCAGTTGGAGGAAGGGGGAAAGAGGATTCTTGTCTGGAAGGCAGTGCTGCTGTTCCTCTCTTTTCAGGAGATATCATCCATCTAGATCTCTGGCTGCGCTGCTGTTCCCCAGTCCCTCTCAATGTCTTCATCACTCCTGTGCTTCACAAATGAGTGAAGTGGCTGTCTCTTATATTCCCTCTGAGATGTAGCAGATGAGGTCTGGGAGTGCCCCCTGCATGGCATCTAATTATGAGGAGAAGAGCAGCTGGGCAAAGCCTGGAAAACATGTTTTCTCTGGGGCTAGTGCAGAGCAAGAGATTCCCTCTGCTCCCTCCTGGTACACAATCGATTCTTAAAAGTTACGAAACCTAGGCTGGGTTGTTGAATTTTAAAATAGCAACTTTGCAGCAGAAACTTCTGCTTTTACACCAGGAAGCTCGGGTTTTGCAGAGGCAAGGGGGGTGAGCTGCTCAGAATGGGTACATTTCTCCCTTCACATTTTGTCTGTTATGGTAGTGTCTGTCTAGCTTCAGGCTGATTCAGCAAGATTAGTATGAAAATAGCCCTATGAAAATAGTTCAGTAAAAATTAAAGAGTCAGCTGGGAACTGTGTGTTCACTAAAGGCGGCCAATTTCTAAAATTGTTTAGAAAAGTATTTTTTTTGTCGGGAAAAAAAAAGGAATTTGGTTCTGAGGTTATGATTTGAGAGCTATGGCACATACATGGGGCTGCATGCCATTTTACTGTTGCCCTGAAAGTTAGTGAGAGAAATTCTAGCTGCAGTATTAAAGCTTATTTATTATTCCTTAGCAATTTGGAGTATTGTAACATTACTGGCATTTGCCCTAATCCTGTTTTAGCTACACCTCTGAAAAAAATTATTTGTCCAGCATGTGAAATATTACACAATAGTAAAGAAAAATATGCCATCAGTGTTTCGTGACTGATCATCTGTTCTCAGCTTCACTTGCTTATTGCTGAGTTGCCTAAAGCAAGATATACTTAGCCTGAATTAACTAAAGCAGACTTTGAAGTCTTGAGAATTTCCTTGATCATTTTGAAAGGTTTTGTAAGCTATTGAAAAGTATTTGGAAAAATAACTTGACACTTGTTCTGTAGTTAAACATGCACTTGTCAGTCTCTGTGCCTGGCAGCTCCCTGTGTCTAATCGCTTTGGAATCCATGAATCTACCCTTGTTTGAGAATGTGTGGGAGGGGTAATGAAAAAATAATAAATACCTGGACAACCTAAGTGAGGTGGAATTTACTGTGTTTAGTTTGTTTAAGAGAAGGTGTGCAACTTCTTGCTGTTAGCTTATGGAAGCAAGCAGGGCTGCAAGGGCAATTGTGTGTCCTACAGCTCCTCATAGCAGGAATGGCATAGTTGGCATGAACACGTGTGGTTAATCGTGCTTAGCCCAGTGGGAGCTGCAGAGTACCTGCAGACCTGTGCCTGCTGGCAGCCTCCTGGCCAGTGCTGCACTTGCTCTGTGGGAAGGCTTCCAGGACCTTGCTGAGTGCCACTAACAAGCCAGGGGTGAAGAAGTGATGTGCATGTTTCCCCCCTTCTGGTTGCTCGGGCCACGACTAGAAAATGTAGTGATTTCTCAGCTGTTCTCTCAGAAGGGGTCTCTGCATTGCTTGATGTGAGCTGTGCTCTGATCCTCTCCACCATCATCTGTCACATGCTCTCTCTGGTCTCTGCATGCAGGAAGCAAATAAATTTATTTTCCCTTCCCAGCGCATCCTTTCTCTTTTCCCCTAGTTGCTGTGGTCAGTATACACTTAGGCTAAGAGTCTATATGTCTCCCTGTGCTCTTTAGGAATGGAGGGATGAAAGTTCCATTGTGTGCCCCAGCTCTGCCAAGTTTACAGGGGCTCACAAGGGGCCCTGCTTCTCTGGAAGAGACTGATCTTGAAACATTGATTATTGATGAGTCAATGTTTCTTTGAATTAAATTGAATTAAAGAAAGCACAGTTAAAGCTAATATGCTGAAGAAAATCCTGTAAGGGGGAGAAAACAACCAGGGCCTGCAAAGTTGGCTGAGAAGAGGCAGGCAAGTGTCTGTCTGTACATAACCTCCAGTGCTCCAGTTGTGCCCACTCAGGATGTTCTGTAGAACCACAGAGTATTAGTTATGAATTAGTTACGAACACATTACTATTTAGGCTTTCTGCACGTGTCCCTTTATGAGATTCAGTACTGAAGCTTAAACCAGACTCTTTATGACTAAGTAAATTTAAAAAAGAAAAAAAAAACTGGTACTTTCAGCTGAGGGACTTTTGGGGTTTTTCTTCCAGCAGCAGCTGTAGGGCTTTACTCAGAGCATTCAGCCGGCAGGTTCTGCATGGTGGCCTAAAGTCTGACCTAGAAGAGCAGTACTGGCTTCCATTGGTCTTTGCTGTATGTTTTTTCTGTAAGAATGGTAGTTCACTTTATTATTTGCTCTCTAATGGAAAGCCTGGCACTGGTGTGAAAAGGAATTTCTGTTTCTCTACCAAGACCAAGCCATGGAGCAAGGGATGCAGAATAGCATTCATCCTTGAAGATGGAACATGTTTGCTCTGAATCTGGGAGTAGACTAATTGCACATAGAGCTTGTGGGCAATTTGTAGGACCTATTGATCAGTCGACTGAATTATTTATGAGTACCTGCTGTATGTGTTTTCACTGCTGCCCAATGGAAGCATTAGAAGATTCATGTTCATCATCTTGAAAGCATGTTTGCCCTGTCATACCCAAACACAAGGCAATAAGGTTTTGTGCAAAGAATCTCTGGACACTGGGGAAGAGAGATGGGATCTCAAACTCTAATGTAGTTACAGTTTACATGGTGAAACGTTCCTATTTTCTGCACTGATATTTACCTGTGGCATCTTCATTTAAAGATGGATCTCTGCCTTCCTGTACATTTGCTCTGCCATTTTTTATTTCACAAAATGTCCAGAACTTGTTTCTCCTTCCCTTTGCTTTTTTATACCACCACTTTGCATCTGTGCAATCCTTTAGTCTGTCTTCCTTTGTCTGACTTGTATGGTTTCTTACACCAACATTGGGACAGATGTTTGTCACTTTCCTGGTCAAATCCAGTGCCCTTCTTTCAGCAGTGATTAGCAGCCCTTCAGTTCCCTGGGCTTCAGTGCAAAACACTTCATAGTTCATGTTTAATAGTTTGATATCATTCTTGTAGTTCTGGAGATGTTCTGGAAATAGTTCAGCCAAATCCCCTCCCTGGAATTAGAGACATCTCATTCCATTGTGGTTGCCCTGACAACCACAGGCAGGTTGCACAGACAGGTAAGATGTATGACCTGCAGGAGAGCCTTACACCTCCTTTGGAGTGGTATCTGAAGGGAAGGGAGGGTGTCATGTATTTGTAGCACCACTTCAGATGTCCCAGGTTTGGACAAATTACATCCTTAGCACTGTAACAAGGTCACAACTTATGTAGTATTTTCAATTTCTTGATTTAAGAAGTAGATTTATTGCATGTGTATCTTAGTTTTATGCATTCAGATAGAAACAGATGAGAGACTTATTCAGAATCACAGTAATAAAATTGTACAACATATTTCCTCTTTTTGTCTTCTGCCTACAGGTCCACCAAGAGCAAAGGAACCACAGCACGGAACCTGTGATAGATGACTACAAAAAGATGGGAACTCTGTTTGGAGAACTAAACAAAAGCCTTATCAGAATAGGCTTCACAAGGATGTACTTTGGAGAACGGATAGTAGAACCCGTGATAATTATATTCTTCTGGGTTATGCTCTGGTTTCTTGGCCTACAAGCTCTTGGACTGGTGGCTGTTCTGTGCCTTGTCATTATTTATGTACAACAGTAAAATTTTATAGATACTATTTGGATGATGCATTTCAACACTGTCACTATGTCAGTGGATTTATGTGTTTATGTAAATGGGTGGTATATCAAAAGCTGCAGTGCTTCAAATTGCTGAACTTCTGGTGATGGGGACTAAAATTACATTTTAAACCAAATCAGCACTGCCCTACTACATCTTTTAGGAGGAAGAAAGGAGATGTTTGTAATGTAATGGTGTGAAATGTACTGTTTTCTGCGCTCTTGGGGCCTTAGCCAAAGGACTGGCTTTTCATTTTCCCTTCTACTCTCCCCATGATCTTGCTTTGTATAGTGAAAATTTCATGTCTGGTTTTAAGAGAACACTTGTGTGTCCTCTTGTGCTCTGTTTCGCTGCTGAGAGGGCTCATGTACTGTTTGTTCCCTGAATCTGCATAATTTGTTAGTGTTTTGCTGAAAAGCTAAATCTGTGCAAGGGAGATTTGGTAACAAACCTGCATTTGTAAGATGAGTACAATTTCCAGACACAAAAGCAACTTTGGGTAATGTAGTTTATAGTAAGCTCTCCCCCAGGAAACAAGCTGTAGCAGCAAAATGCCCTTATACTAATGTTAGTGACATCAGACAAGACTTCAGCTGTTGTTCAGGAGAAATTGCAGGCCTACATTGGCCAAGCAGTCTAGTGTAGCACTGCCTTGTTTTATGGAAATGTACTCAGCTCCTGCTGCTCTTTTTCTTTCTTTATTTTTTGTACTTGCTCTTTCCCCCAGCCCTACTTCTTAAGATAAATATTTGGATAATTCATGGAGTTTGTAGGTAGTTCCAGCTGCAGTGTTGGACACTTGCCATTCCAGACAGCATGAATGTTGTCTGCTTCCTCTGGGTGGTGTGACAAGTGGCTGAACAACCAGATACCAGACCAGATCTCTCAAGGCTTCTCACATTTGCTGCAGTGTGGGCCTACACAGGCTAAAGTTTTGTGCACCTAAGCCAACTCAACCTGTTTCGTCATGCAAGGCAAGAGTGGAGTTGAAACCAGGTGGTCATTTTATTTAGTAGTCTTAACTGGTTCCTTTCCATACTAGGCAGCAAAAATGCCTACCTACAGGTGTATGTCACACACAGCCTAGAGAATAGGTTAAATAGATTCAGGAGTGGGTGCAAAATTCACTCAACTCCCCAGTAGCCACCCTAGGGGTGTGCTGGGTATTTCCAACTTCTCTTCTTTTCCTGAAGAGAAACAGAAAAGTGGGACAGAATCTTTACTACTTATACTTTACCACTGCTGCTAAATAGGCTACCAGTTTAATATTTGTTGTACATTACTCTTAGCAAGAAACTTAATTGAAAAATTGATTTCATCTGTGGTAGAGTGAAATTACATATTTGCTTAAAGAGATGTAATAGGAGATGTTAAATTTGCAGAAAATTACTCAACCTTTTGCAGTGACTTTTTTCCTAAATGTTTTTACAACAATAAATTAGTTGAAGATGTTGTCTTATTCAAAGACATTTAAAGTTAAGGGAGGGTTCTCTATAGTCCCATTCCTGCTGCTGGATTCTCAAGTCCAGCTTTTTGCATGGATCATTTTGTCTGTTAGGCTGTTTCCAGGACTCCTGGCCGCAGTTCTTATAGACTTTCCTGTTAGGAAAATAATTGTTATTTAGGGCAGTGAACATGAAAGCCCAGCTCCTCTAGAGTCTTTTGTACTGAAATGCCGTCTCTAGATGCATCTCTGTGCTTTTCTAATGAGCAAGTAGTATCCTTCTGAGGAGGCAGGTCACCTCTCTGGATGTGGATTCAGGAGGCTCTGCTTCAGCAGCAGGACTGCAGGACTGAGGCCCAGCTGTGTAGTTAGATGGCAACCTGTGTTGATTGGCACCTGATTAAATAGTTCTGCTGCTGGCAGGGAAACCTTGGACAGCAAGTACAGGCTGAACTCAGAGCCAGGAGCTCTGTACTCAGAAGTGCCTAGGGGTAAGCCTTGGGTTTGTTTCAAGTCCCCTATAAGGAGAACATCTGTTTACATCTTTGCAGATTTGTATAGCTAGAACGATGGAGTTACGTGTATTCTCCTCCTGTAAAAGGGCTGTATTACAAAAGCATCCTGTTGTTAAAAGTAAAAAAAAAAATCCTTTCTTTCTTCCCACAATCTTGTTACTGTACAGAGGATCTCATCTAATTCTCTTCATCCCATAGGAAGAAGTGTATCTGTGCTAGCCTTGTTGCAGTAGTTCTGTTGTGTAAAGGTGCTGTGCTGTGAGATGGCATGTGGTATTTCCTTGAAGTGGTGATTGGGCTCTGTACATAAGGAAGGGGGAGCAGTGAACCACGGGTGTGACCAACAGCCTCAGTGAGGACATTGTTTATATGCATGTGACCTTTCAGTGTGAGCAGAACTGTGGCTGCTGCACTCATCAATTCAGTTCAGTTGTTTGTTCGATGTTCATGTTTGTGTACGTGTACTCTGGGGAAAGGTAGGGTAGCTTTGGGGCTGATATTGTGTTTAGTGGATGTCTTAGGTGGTTTCTCTTAAGGGTAATTATGTCTTGTCCTTTACAGAAGTTTTGCATTTTTAATAACCTGAAAAAACAGTGCTAGTGCTGTAAGGTTGGATTGGAAATGGGAAAAGAAGAATGCATTGCATGGATAATCCCCCTCTCCTGTTTGGTTTCATACATATAACAATTTGTACTGAAATGTCTGTCCTAAATTTTGTGCTATTACTGTACTATCCCCCTCTTATTTGCAGGGAAGGCAGGAGGAGCTAAGGAAAAAGGGGAACTGGGATAGAATCAGGCATAAAGACTGGAAAGTGGAATGTGGTGAAACGATGCATATATGTGTCCAAAGAAATCTGATCATAAATGTGTGCCAGAAGTGAGGGGGAAATGGGTGAACAGTCCTTGCTTGTGTTCTTTATTCCATCCAGACAGAATAGGAAGGCAAAGGAAGCACCAAATGTTCAAAGGATGTCTCTAGCTAAAAAAGCAGGAGGTTAAATTTTAAAAAGAAAAAAAAGGCAATTTCACAGTTGTCTATATAGTAAAAATTTATAATGTTATTTATGCTGTTACATATTATTATTATTATTATTATTATTGATAGAACTGAAGGCACCTTTATGCATCTGTGTGTAGGACTGTAGGAAAGAATTATGTCCCTTAAATCTGTGTTAAACAGCAACGAACAATATAATTCCTATTGGCCAGTGTTTTGCACATTGCAAGCGTTTCACATAACCTCCATTTTTTAAGGGATGGACTCTTCAGTGCTGTTTCATGCCTGCCAAATGCATAAATGGTTGAAAGAGAGTGTACAGAGAAGCTCTGCAGGAGAATCTTGGAGAACCCTGTTTGCGCTGAAACATCATCACATCAAAACTGTCCATATAAAAAGGAAAAATCTTATTTCTTAAAATCTCTGTATTGAATGAAACCTATGGGAAGCACTTTGTTACTCTTTCTAATAAAAAGTATTTCCATCAATGAGATCTATGAATTCTTTGTGGTGCTTTGTTCAGAGGTACTTGGGTCCTTTCAAGGTGTCATGGTAGGCCCAGATAAAGTAGGGCAGTGTTCAAATACCCACTGAAATCAGTTAACTTGCAGAAAAAACTGCAGTACAGGAGCTGAATAGACTGCATCAGGTCTCTGTGGTTGTATGCAGCAAGTTACGCTAAACCAGAAGAAAATAATAGTAGAGCTAGGTGTTAACAAATAATGGCAATATTATGGTGTAAAGTAGCTTTCATTTCACAGCATATCTACTTTGCATCCAGAGCAGCCTCTGAGGGGAACCAGAAGTAGTCAGGGGTGTGAAAAATCCTTTGAAGTGACAATTGCTGTGCCACGGAAAGGTTTGGGTGTTATCAGTTGGGTTTTTTTTAGATACACATAGAACATTATGTGGTTCAAAACACATGTACTTCAAGCTGTTGTTTTGGTTTGCTTCTGCAGGTCAGAAAGGTGTTCATTCTGCCACATCCAGCAGACAATTCAGTGTATCTGTGTTGCTCAGGATGCCCAGTGAGTTAAGGAGTTAATGGGTTTTTTTTAAGTAGCAAAGTTGAATTTTGGTCCTTTGAACTCTTATTGAATGTGCACAAAAGAAACAAGGTTCATTCCTGAATAAATTCAAGCCTTCAGGTTTTCAGTTAGAGTATCTTTGTCAGGCCTTTTATAGGGTGCATGCCAATTCAGAACAGCCTGGCTTTGACTCTGATTCTTTCCATCCAGGGCTTTATTCTAGGGTTTAGGAACTTCTTAGCCTCTCCCCTCTGCCAGAACTGACAGCTTTATCTGCTTTGTCCATTCCTCCTTTAACTCTAGCATTTCCTTCTCTAGGGGTGTTCACTTTGAACAGTCTTTCTCTGTGCCAAAGGTTCAGGCTTTTTCATCATTCAGTCTTATTTAAAGCCACCTAGACAGAAAATCTATTTTCAGATTGGTGTTTTGTTTGTTTTACTGTGTACCTGCTTAGCACCAGAGGGGAAAAAAATAGAAGATTTTCAAAAAAAGTGTATGCTGGTCAGTCACTTCTTTTTTACAGTGCTTTTCTGCTGATTTAGATGATGGTTACCAAAGTGTGGTTTGCAATCACCAAAAGAGCATTGCAGGTGTGGAGGGTGAGGAGCTGTTGGGAGGCTGGCACTGGGATTTTGAGAACAGACAGGACAAGCAGCATGTGGCTTAGGGTTGTTTCAAGCTTAATAAGGCAGGTGGACTTGTAGCTTCCCTTAACTCCTGCCAGTGCCTTGGTTGCTTCCAGGAATGCCTATAAATAAATAAATAAGTAAATAAATGCGTATAAAATCATCAGTGCTCCTTTTACTGAAGGAATCTCACTCTGAAGAAAACTGAGCTTTCACCAGCTCTGCTTTTCACAGAAGAACCAAAGGGAATGGGAAAGGGGAATCGGACTAATAGTAGTGAGTTTAAACTTGCCTGCAAGCTTCTGGTGTTTTCAAATTCTGGTCTTGTCCTGTCCAGATAATATTTGTCTCTTGTGTGCAGTTGTCACAAGTCTTTATCTCCCCCCAGCCTATATATGTATTTTCTAATTAGTACAAAAGTGAAGCTGCTGTGATAATATATGGTATTCCCAATTTATTGAGAACTACACACACTCTTTTTCCCCTCAAGTGGCAGGAGGGGTGTGGCTGGATTAAAGCCCTTCTGGTGACAGGAGCTGCTCTTGCTGCAGCCTCAGGGTCACTGTCTCCTTCCCAGGGCACAGCAGTACTGTTGGAATACCTGGAGTCCCAGTGGCATGGAAGGGGAAGGACTGTTACACCACAGTCCAAGGGATTTGATCAGGCAGTGTTTGAGACAGAGCTGTTGCAGAGTGCTGTGTCAAGATTTATGTTCTTCTAATGAAATTTAATTAAGCCCCATTCTTCCTTGGCTTGTCCTGGTGCCATCACCTTGTGTTTGGAATGAATGTTGCTTGTGGCAAATTGTTCTGCTTCTGGAACCCGTCTGTGTGTGTCTAGGCATCTTTCAGTTGTACCATTTACCCTTAATTGCATTTTAAAACATTACAAGGGAAAAGGGCTCATCTTCAAGTCCTCATTTGGATGAGGGTTTAATTAATATCTGTGAGAAGGGAGCCAAATTAGTCTCTGGCGCACTGCTGAGGGCTTCCTTTCAGAGGAAAAAGATGCTGACTGATGTATGGGGGATTCATGTACAAGGTAGATGGATTTGCATACTGTCCAGAATGAGAGGTAGAAAGTGACCATTCTTCTGTCCTAGTTCACAAGTTAATTGGCTGGTTTTTATTGTAGCAATCTTTCTCAAGCTAGCTGGAACAAACTTCCTAGGTGCAAGAAGTCTGTAGCAAGGAAGTGAATTATTAATTAAGGAAAAATCTTTGTCAGCCAAAATCCTTGTCTGTAACAGGAAGTCTCTTCTTGACTGGAATGGAATTTGAGTCAGTGCTTTGGCTAATTCGATCTTCATGTTGAATATTTTACCTGTTTATTGTTTTAAACCATTTTTTTCATTCTTGTCCATTCTAAAAGCTGGTAATATCAGTCCAAAATTCTTGAAAGCCACTCCTCTGTCAGTAGCTGTGACCAGTGGGGCTGAGGTAGCCTGAGAATATGGAATGGCAGGTCACTGGGTGAGACTGATGTGTCATTAATGCTACCTGGCTGGTGTTACAAAGCCTTCAAGCAGGTTTTGGCATTTCCTTTGCTGTCACTTTCTGTATTTATGCATCTTGTTACATGCTGAATGAGAGCTTGCATTGCCAAGTACCTGATTTCCTCTGGCGTTTCTCTGAGCTTGTTCTGTGCTGCTGAACAGACTCCGCAGAGCTGGGCACCCACATTGCTGCCCTCTGCTTCCTGCCAAGAGTGGAAATACTGCCTGGTATCCCACAGTCATGTCCTCATCCTAATAGGACTAGGAAAGGCATAATGATGCAGTTTTACTGAGGCAACAAACATTTCTATGCCTCTGAATCTTCCTGATGCAGAAAGGGGAAAAAAATTAACAGCTTTGAGTCTACTTTTGATGCTTTGTAGATAAGAGAACTAAAGGCATGCAAGTGTTTGAGTAATTTTTTTTCATCTTGCTTCCCCATTTTTTTCATTCAGTTTGTGATTAGAGAGATAAGACAGTATTTGGCTGAGCTCTGTTAGCAGTAGAATTTAACTTGGCTCTTAGTTAACAGGGTATTCAACACATACATGCAAATGGCTGTATTTTTTACTTTTTCTTCAGAATATCTTTTTTTTGCCTTGTTCTAATGAATGAGCTTAACTCTTTATTTTTCTGCTATTT